CAGCAATCAAAGCACCCTTCTAATTTAATCAGAGGATTGACTAAAAGCAGCCATACTGACTTTTGCATCCGATTAGCCTTCTTGAATGTCTTGAAAGGAGATTGGATTAAGTTTTATAGAGCTTTGGCGAAAATTATCCTTATGAATATTGTACTAAATAACTTTTTTAATCTTAATATTATATATGAGATCAGGTGTTTCACTTTCAAGAACAGATGTTTTAGAATTACGTTTCTGTATAAAAATAAGAGCTCTTCTAAATTTCTCCATTCAGACGTCGCAATAGGCGTAGTGGATAGTCACCCTGTCTCTTGCGACCGACGGTGTGGGTTCGATCCTCACTACTAGAAAAATATTGTGTGATGAAAATCGTGTTTTTCTAGTGTCTGGGTGTTTATATATTTACAATGTGATTTTATTTACAAAAGAAAACAACGTTTAAGAATGTTTATCATTTACCTAACTAGTACCAATAGTACAAGCTTTACTTAGTTTGAGACTAGATAACGTTGGATAAAAATGTTCTGAAATATTTAAACAGGGAAACAAAACACACAAGGATAATTTAATTATGTCTTGCTATTTAGAAGTCAAAGCGAGTCAAGTAAAGAGATTGCTAAAGGTAAAATTGATATTGGTTACTTCATGAGGTCTAGATGATTATTACTGCTACCATATTTTGACTTAAAATTAACAGCTACCACTAGGATAATGTACTTTTGCTGAACGATGTGACATAGCTTTAATAGTGAAAGGATCTGGTCAAGGCGTTTTGCGCAGGTTCTAATTGACCGCAAACAAATGATGCCCTAGGGTAGTCGGTTAGAACGCTCCTAAAAGGAACAAATTTCTAGCAAACACTATAATATACATTTGCATTAGAATTATTTGTCGTAGTCAAGCTTTACGAGATATACAAAATAGCTGAGGGTACGTAAGACTTCGGCAAATATAATTAAGACAAAAAGATTAATGAGGAGCCCATCGCCATACATCTGGTATAGTTGTTATTTGTAGCTATGCTGCGTGCATCAAAAGGCACATTTCCATCAATAGAACCGGTTAGGTTCACCAAGTGGTGAAGATAATGAAGACGACTGCTGTTTAATCCTGTGACCTCAGTCCACTTTTTTTTTATTTTGAACTGGCCAGCACTTGACTGCCATCCCACCTGATGGTAAGTCGAGATGTAGCCTTGTGATGATAAAACTTAATGCTCGGGAACACAGCTGACAGATGATTGGTAAGGCGCCTAAGGATTTAAAAGGTCAGCTGCAAATGGCGCCTTTCTAACGAAGATGGCGTCATTCGGCCGAAGTGTACTGGCTCTTCTCTTGCCGGGTCGGCGCCTTTCTATCTCAATGCATATATCTGAGCCCACTTACCCAACGCTTCCGCGGTCATAGAGAATTTGACTTGTATGAGCGTCAATAGTGATGTCCTATTTGGACACACGTTGAAATAACGTATTTTCATTTATCCCGTAGGACTGTACTGACAACTGACATACTACTCCATTGTTAGATTGTCTACGTTCACTAATAAATTGTATCAATTGAATATGCTTAAATATTACTCTTACATGAGATTATAGATTTACGTGTATTTAAGTTTGCGGACAGTCATTTTGATAATTTAAAATTTGATTATGTAAATACTCATGTGGTTAACTCATCGTTTTATTATTTCTCGAACGAATGATATAATAATTTTGTATGTATGACAGTGTCTTTGGGATTAAAGATGATGTGAAAGTATACGCCTTTTTAGTGGCCAAACCTACCTTACAAATTGCGAATACACTCTATGTTCACAGGATGTTTTAATCATTACTTATTATAATTATAACTATTATAACTATGATTATTTCATCGTTCGTAACAATATTGAAGACGTTCAGGCACGAACAGCTCTACTTGCAATACAATGGTACTCAAAATTCACTTTCAGTTCTCGACGTAGCGTAGCGGTTTTGTGTGTAATTAGCTGAGTCGCTTGACTCTACATAATGTGGGTTTATTCATGGTTATTACATTAACTGATTGAGCTACTGAGAGAACCCAGGTGGTCTTTTAGGAAAAATATATTAGTCAATATGAAAAGGGCGGTTGCCACCGTAAGCTATATTCAATAGCAAAAAAAAAATTTTATATGTTTTTCAATTCGAGATATTTTTAGAACTATATGATTTGCGGTGAAGTCTATAAATCGTATATGGAAAAGTTAAACCTGTTATATGATGTAATAGAGATCGATTATTATAGACTTTGTTGTAATTAATTTAGGTTGCGTATAATAAAAACTGAGAGCTAGAATTTAAATGGCTATCACGCATTATTTTTTGTTAAAATAAAATGTTGCCTCCACTGTAGGATAACATTATCTTGTGTTGAAAGGACTTTTCATATACATAAATTTCACGTGGACAAACTCCCAAATCCGAAACAATTACCTGTGGGTCACACAAATAGTTCTTCCGTGTTGGGATCGAACCCACGACCCCTGGCGCCGAAGCCTTGGCAACTGCGCCACGGAGCTAATAAAAACTAACTACATGAACATTCATGTCCAACTATTAAAATATTACGAAAATATCAAACCGGCTTAAATGAATAATCAATTTGTATCCTAGTAGTTTAGCAACTAAGATAAACAAAAGAACCGGTCGACTTTTAAGCATCTTTTAAAATTCTACATCTGTTTCATTTAACTATTGCGAGGTATTTATAAGAATTGTTCCAAAAGGATTATTTGATAATGTTGTTCTAACTTAGGACCACTAAAAAGTTCTTCCTCTTTTACTAACCTTAAGAGCCGTGATAGCTCAGTGTCCGGGCGCTCGCCTTTAATTCAATATACTCGAGCAACCTGAGTTCGATCCCCGGTGCCGGCACCAATGAAGTTTTTAACTTTAAGTGCTGACTTGAAGGAAAACATCGTGAGGAAACCTGCTTATTTTCGAAATAATAACAAAAAATATATATTTCGAAAATATACGAAGTCCGCCAATCCGCAGTGGGGCCGCGTGGTGGACTATGCCCTGATACCCTCTGTATAGAGGAGGCCTTTGCCCAGCAGTGGGATATGTATTGGCTGTTTTTTAACTTTTACATCTTTTGCTAGCTATGAAGCGCTTGTTCTGTTGTGAGACTTTTGTTATATCAGCCATTTAATAATGAAGGTAACCTACCTTCATTTACTTTATACATTGGAGGATAAATAATTATTACCATAAGGTGGTACTTCTCTAGTCGAGTCATTCATAAGGACCTACGTTCCATTCATGGCCATGCATAAGTAAAAACTGTCAAACAGCAATAACACAATAACATTTAATAACATTTTACGGTGGTAGGGCCACGCAGCAGCCTCGGCTGTTGCACGAATGGGCTGGCTCGTCCGGGTAAGTACCACGACCTCACAGAAGACCAACGTAAAGTGGAAGTATGACAAATACTTTCGCGTTTCGTCTGGTGAGTGAGGTAGCCGGAGCCCGATTTTCAAAAGGTTGCCAACGCATCTGTAACCCTCGGGTGTGGCAGATGTCCATGGGCGGCGGTATTCACTTAGCATCAGGTGAACCGTCTGCTCGTTTGGCAACTTTTCACATAAAATCTTTTTTTGTGAAGTAAAGCAAAGTGAATCTTTCCATCTAGAGCAAACGAAAAATTTTCAAAAACATGTTTAAATAGTGAAAGTTTCCATCATCATTATAAGAAGGATGATGGCTAACCCGTTTCTCATAGTTTCTCATAGTTCACCATAAACTCTTGGCGTGCAGAAATACCATGGATTGTTTAAAGATTGTCCGCTTGAGCTTTATCACTTGCTGAATTTATCATTTGCTTTGGAACATTATGACATGAAGTATGACAGTAGAATTGGTTCAGTTATTTTTCGCTGGTGTTGCGTCTTTGAGGGTCAGGTCAGCCAAGAATTCATTACCCATTCCAGACCAGCTCTCATATCAACAAGCCTTGTGGGCGCGTACATGATGATCGATTACAATGGTTACAAAAGTATTCTGTAGAATTCTGAACAAAAATGTTGTTACGCAAGTAAATAAATTGCAGTAGTATCATGTACATATTTAGAAATGCAATTCCATTTTGGCACGATCCACCTTTGTGGCGCGGCTGCCTCGAATTTTGTCCTTTTCACTGTAGGGCCACTAAACAAGCTATAATGACCTGAATAAAGACTTTTTCATTATCTGTATATAAACATTGTCGTAACTTATACCGCAGTTAACATTATCATCCATTAGGCATTAATAAAAAATACATCTGTTAGTAAAAAAATGAATACAATATCGGCGAACACGATTGGCAAATTCGACGGGCGCGTTTTCCACAACTGGCCATTTGCGTTTTGTAACGATCGAGAAAAAAAAAAGTAGAAATTTTATTGGTGCAATGTGTTTATGGGCAAGATGAGCGGCTTTCGGAGCCCCCCTGCGACGGTAGCCAGGACGGTTGCGAAGGCGCCCAGCGGTGAAAGTGCCGGGGGAGGGGGGGGAATGGTGCCTATATCAGACGGTAGGGTACGCGCGCGGCGCACTCCGCAACTAAGCAGGTGAGCTTACCATACCATCCACGCACGGGTCGTCTCGGTCGTCGCGTTCCGAATTAAAGAAAGTGTTTCTTTTTTTACCATCTCTTTGTTAACAACCAGCCTCTAATTCAATCGTTCCGAGTGAAAAAAGATGTGTCAAAAGTAAAAGTGCCCGTTAGCGTATCCACTCTCTCATCACGCGCGCTAGTAATGCCCCCTGACCGCCTATCGCGTTCGAGTTTATGTAACTATTTATCGAATTAGTGACGAGCTTCTAGAGCATTCCCTTCGAGATTTGAAACCTAATACAACTGTCAACGGTCAACTAGCTTTGACATTGTCTTGATTTTTATTTATATCTTATAATAGGTAACACACAACAAACTTTCTGTTTACAGGCGTGTGAGTTTGAAGAAACAGAAGCAAAAATGAAGGTGGCTCTGTGCATGTTGGTGGTAGTGGCGGTGGTGGCAGCCGCCCCGCAGAGGGAGGGTGCTGCGTTCACCAAAGAGGCCATCAAGCAAGCCCAGAACACCTTCCTAATCCCCAAGGATGCTGAAATTCAAAAGGTAATAATAACCATAACTTACTGTTCTCGGTAGAGGGAACCTAAACACGAAGTTATTTGTATAGAGAATTAAATATGTTTTTTCTTCTTCTCTAAGTTAATGATGCAATTAACCTTTTTTAAGATAAACGTTTCATATAAGTTATTGTTATAATTAACTTATAGTTATTTGTAAGGTTTACGATAGTTTTTTTGTAGGGTTTTATTCTGAATATAAGAATTATTTGGTGTGTGAACAAAATCCACAGATAAGTGGTGTCTTTTGTTCGAAAGCTTACGATGTTTTTCAATCAAGCGAATAACTACATGATAACAACGAGGTATGTCAATACTTTGAACTTCTAAACATTTGTTTAGAAGTTCAAAGTATTGACATACCTCGAAGTAATAAAACACGTCGATACTACCCGAACAGGTCCAAGAAGGCATCGAGCTGGCGGCGTACGAATCGATTCCGGGCAACCAGAAGGTGGACCTGAGGCTCATTCTGGGTGACCACGTCCCCGAAGAGGTCATCAACAACCTGCAGAGCCAAGTGGACCAAGTCGGCCGTCACTAGATTCTAAACTAAAAAGTATTCTGTTCAGTTGGCATCGGTAATTTTAGAACGAAAAAACTCAATTTCTCAATCAAGATGACAACTAGTCTTAGTTTCATTCATCGAAGGTCGTAAAAGGTCATGGAAGGCTTATTAAAATGAAGAACCGTTCGACGTTACTGACAACCAGCTTGACACCATGCGGTCTACCGCAAATGTTGACTAATATTTAATTTATTGGTTACGCAAGTACAAGACAGTGTGTGATACGATGCAATCTCTTTTGTATGTTTGTACATAAATTTTTATTGTAAGTAATAAAGTGATCGGGCTTTGTCCAAACACCATTTTATTTGTTTAAATTTGACGTTGATCTAATTGTCGTACAGTATCCTTTACTATTTAAACCGTGTTAAACGATGGGGTCATAACTAATATGTTAACTTATTTAATACATATAAACCAAAAGCCCAAACGTACTTTATTGAAGATAACCATGATGGCATAATAATCATTAAAATTATCAATCAAACCGTTAACTTACAATTTATCCTTAATGCCTCCATATAAGCAGTTTCTATTCTTCAGTATCCGACACGATTTGGCACCCCCGTGTTTTAAAATTCAATTGACATACCGGTACAGAACCGGATTTAGAAGTATGTTGCTGAGAAAATTTAATATTTAAATGCCTCGACAACACAATCATGATAGAGTTATCCTACAAGCCCGTAAGAAGCCTGTCCCGAGTATACTTTTACATACTCTTAAGAATGTGTCCTTGGAATGTACTGATCGCTTTTATTTTCTGACAGTAGACTATTCTTTGAGAGTCATCTGCAAAAAAATTCATGGAATGGAATGAATTATATATAAAATTCTTTTCATCGTCGGACGAACAGTTGATCATTAGCTTAAAGTTGAGAGAGTTACATCGATGGGTTTTAAGCCAAGAGTGGATAGACTTTTCTGATGAGTAGTGAGATGTAGATGATACTAATCCTCTATCGCTTCATCGGCAGTTACCATAGGGTGAAAGATGGTAACTGTGAAGAAATTCCAAAAAGAAAAGGAGAATAAATGAATCGTGTCGTAATGATACATCCATCCCGATAGAAAATACCGTGGCCCTTCCTCACGATAACAGTATCGCCGTTTTAGCAATCGTCGTAAGAACTGTTTCTTAGTGGTTTAAGTTTAGTTTATTTTTGTTTCTAATCTCGTGAGTGGTCGCATTGAATGCTTTTGTAAAATATACATTATTTACAAAATGAAACAGTTTTTACGAATTCTCGCGTTTCCTTTTTTAGTGTTCATGGTCTCGTGAAAGACATCGGGGATAATTTCATTTAGCGATGTGTAATCGCGTAAATACAATATCATAATCATATACATTATTTTATCAATAATACACCAGCCATGACAAATTTACACGCGACCGTTAAATATAAGTGAAGAATCTTCATTTCGAAACATCAATTTTTTTTGTCCAATTGTTAATGTAATGTATATGTAGATACAACTATGAACTTATGCTAATATATTTATGAGGAGACGCACAGTATGACTTATTCACTTCGTCATTGTAACAACTGGTCGTCAAATAAGCCGGGCCCGGGTGCGCGGTCGATAATCTTGCAAATAATATATAAAAAAGACCATTTCGTATGAACATTTATTTTTAACGACATTCGTTGAGAGCCAGTTTTCTGACATCATCTTAAACGAATTTCACCATTTTTTTATCTCTACAGATATTATGATTGAATTTTATACGTGAGTTTTGTAATGATTGAAGAACTGTGGATTGTAAATAAGGCTTTTCGTACATGGAGTTTTGTTGCAAAAAATCGCTTACTCTATGTAATTTTTTTATTAAAGCTACTTACATATTTGCGTTTTACGCGACTATTCCATAAGGAGTAAGTTTCCGTAAGTTTTCCGATGGTATATAATGTTTCGGCATATTTTAAGAGACGTAACTTAATTAATGATAATTGTGACAGTGCCATAATAACATTTAATGTTAATATGTAAAATGGTACTGCAGGCGAATATATTTTGTCTTTGCAGACCTGGTGGAAGTTTTGTTCTTTGGATGGCATACTTGGTACACTCGCCATGGGCCTCAGGACTGGCGTTCCAGAAGGATCTTGTCCCTTGCCCACGCTCTGCACAAGTGACAACCTAAAATACACACGTCGCAGTGTTCGCATACGACACGGCCCTATTTTATACTGACAACTGGCATGACAATGTTGGTCAGTTATTTCATTGGGTTAATGCTCTACCATTTCATGTCTTATGTACAAGTTCCAACAGTGCATTTAAATCAACCTCAGTTTGTCGAAAACAAAATTACAAAAAATTGCTAGGTAGTACCAATCAAAGGTCGACCTGCACAGCGACTGCAAGCTCCTGAAGCTCCTGCAAAGGTTTTGATAATAACAAAAAAAAAGAGAAAGAATAAAACTACATCGCTTATATACAAACCTAGGCTACGAATAGTTTTAAAATACTTTTCATAAAGTTATTAATTCCGCAAGGTATTTAACGAATGTGGTGTCCATTGCCTATTTGAGAAAAACTTACGAGTTTTTGACTTTACAGGCTTTACTAATACAGGCTTTTGGAGGGAACCTTAATCTTACCTTACATACTACCTAATTGCGACGCGAGCCTAAAATTCACCTCAAGTTTACCTAGAGTGGAAGGACTACTTAAATGTAAATATAGAGACCGGTTATAACGTAAAAAAAAACCGGCTAAGTGCGAGTCGGACTCGCGCACGCAGGGTTCCGTACAAAAAACGGCAAAAAAAAAAATCATGTTTGTTCTATTGGAGCCACACTTAAATATTTTTTATTCAGTTTGTCTTTTTTAGTATTTGTTGTTATAGCAGCAACAAAAATACGTCTTCTGTGAACACTTCAATTCTATCACGGTTCATGACATTCAGCATGATAACGACAGACAGAGAGCGGAGTCTTAGTAATAAGGTCCCTTTGTTTACGGAACCCCAAAACGCACAAGCTTTAAAAATGTACTTAATATGTCCACTTCATCAGATTTTGAAAACAGTAATCTTATGTGGGTATTATAAAACTATTGTATTTATAAATATCAATATATGTGAGATTACCTTAACACTTGTGTCCTACATAACCATCTATTCAATCTGGTCGTGACTTAAGGTCGTGAGGAAAAGGCTCGTTGCGGAGATCTTGTTAACTTGTGCCCGAGTGAAATGTCTACGCATTTGTAATTAAAACCACTGCGTGCCGTATGAATAAGTTGCTTTGATGTTTCACTTTCGCTTCACTTAAGCGTAAAAAACCACGCCACTCGGCGTCTACTGGCGAAAAGTTGAATCGGATTCGCTACCAGATGTATTTTTAAAATGTTAAATATGTACGTTTATGAGTGAAGATTGCAACGGAGCAAGCGATTTAGTGATATGGTCTGCATCAGAAACATCAGTGGAGCTTATTTTGCGTACCATAACTTCCAATCCATATATACTAATTTAACACAGTTTTTCCGAATCTGGGTGCACTCTATGTCCGTGGATACAGGTTTGTGAAAGTTTCTGCAACACAGTTATTGGTTCCTGGTACGTGATGTTCTTGGGGCTAACTCCTAACACCGGTTATGATTATATAAATGATAATGGAATTTAGTAGAACACTTTATTAAAAAATTTTGAACAAAAAAAAAATACCGACTTCAAACAGGAAACTAAAAACATTGTCCACACCTATAACATTTGAAGATTTCTCTCGATTTCTCTGGGATCCCATCATCAGATTTGGGTTTCCTTATCATGGTACTACACTTGGTATATCTACTTTCCAACAAAAAAAAGAATCATCAAAATCGGTTCATAAATGACGAAGTTATCCCCGACCACACATAAAAAAAAATTGATATAGATACAATGATACACAATGATATGATATTTATGATATGATAATTAGGTATGATAATTTGAGAACGCGTGGTTTGCTTCATGAGCGAACGTGAACTGACTGCCTGTCGCGGTATGTTTTAATGCTTACTATATATTGGTAGACTTTAGGTACAAATTGCAAAGAAAGCTGTTTGGTTCAACTGCGAACCGAAAAGACGTATGTTTAATAAATATACTTAATGTACTTAATTACCCACTTGATAGCATGTTCATGCAATATCTTCAAGTAAAAAAGGGATTCATAAAATTTTCTACGCAAACCAAATTCTTGGGTGTGTAACCAACGAAATGAATAGCTCAGCTAATAGGTACTGAGTCTTTAGCGGTCATACTTACAAAACTCGAAACGAACAGATATGACGAGACTCGCGGAAACGTACCGTGATGATCTTTCCCTTTCAGCGCAGTTAACTGTTAAATAATGGGGGACTATGAGCTGAATCGCTTGTGCAACAATAATAACTCACCTAATGCAACTTTAGTAGTTTCCTAGCGTATCGTAATCATTTAGATGAACTTTTGTAATGGTATGGATCATTTTAATTCAGCTTTAACGACAACTATTTTTAGAGACTGAAGTCCTAAATTCTACTGGTTTTCCATCAGCATTCTGCCCATCGGAGAAGGTAAACTATTAGGTATTATATCCCCATTTCAATTATTAGGTATTACATCCCCATTTACCCTATTTCAAGACAACGGAGATCAAAAGGGTGTATGAGCGTGGTTACTAAATATGACAGTCTAGATTCTTTTACCTGTGATTTTACTGGCCAATGCAATCTCTGCGTTCGGCTACCGTGCATGTATATGAAGAATGCATCATGCGTTAAAATAATCTCGGTTGAAACTTGATAGCGGTTATCCGATATGGGGGAAGAGCGATGCGGTCGCGTTGCAAAACGCCTGCGGCTAGCTTAATTGGACCTTGACAACGCTGCACTGATGAAGAAACACATTACAATATTCAAATTATGACATAACAGCTGATGTCGCCTCTTGACACACTTATGCTTAGACGAAAATTTGTTGTGGCGTAGCGACGTGT